GCTCTTGCGTATCAAATCAATTGAGATATATTCACTTCGTATGCAGGTGATGAAGGTATATTGCTGCAGAAGTAAGGGAAGTTGACAATAGAAAAGTTAAAGTCATCACATGTCTCAAATAACTTGGTTGTTAATTTACCATTAACGTCTTATTTAAGTAAAATATCCAAATATGAAACAGATGTATCAGACTCTTTGGTATCTTTTAACTCAAACTCTCCGGGATATATCGTATCGACGTTGGAATGGAAATTACCATTACCTAAATCTCTTCTGTACCTCAACAACTGAAATTTAATTTTGGTTGATCATTAGAAATACCTTAGTAAAGCATTTGTAAGCATACAAAATGGAAAAATTAAACTTTGATTTTTTTTTTACTGAAACTGTGTCCAAGTTCCTTTAGGTATTAGATAATAATGTTTGATATTGATTCTTTATTTCAGAAGTCAAACCAAACGTGTTACTCAGGAAGAAAAATGGTTGACAATAAAAGCAGCATGTTTTTTTTAAAACGTTGAATGTTCAATAATTCATGTTAGTAACCTTGAGGTAAATGTGCAAGTATACATCGGATAGGAAAGTAGATGTTTGCTTGAATTATACCAGAAACTGTGTGGAAGAGAAATTATCAGAAAATTACAAACACAAGAGGAACAATTTCATCTATCCTCTTTAATTCCTGTAGCGGGAACTATATAGTCAAGCACCTTCAATCTGGTTGGAACATCATCAGCAACTTTTAAGGAAACAGAAGAAGGATCCTCTACATGCTTTATATCCGAAAAATACAGGTTTCTTGAGATATTGTAAGAATGAGTACGATAAGAATGCCTGATTTTTTTTACTGTTAGTCATATTACAGATATTCTACTTTGCCCTCATATCATTGTTAATTATAGAGGTGAAGAAGTGAAACTAGGAGGTTTACTCTGAAAACCAACAATCATTTAGTCTTTATCATCGGAGAGTTTGTTTACTGCAAATGTGGCAAAATAAGTATATGCTCTATGCAGAATCTCGACTCTGAGATGTTCTCATTCTTGTTCCATAGAGATAGCTTAGAAATCCTTACAGCTACATGCAATTCGGTGATAATTGTGTGCGACAGCTGAGAACTTTACCAGGAATTAATCTGATGAATGTCCTGTTTTCCTTTTTAATCAGTTGTTGTAGTCCATTTGCCAGACATTTCAGTACATTAAAGATTTTTGTTAAGGTTTTAGGATTCCTCCATTACTTCTGGAAAATCTGGTTAACACTTTGTCATGGACAGTTCTTCTGTTGCCTTCACATTTTTCAGTCTTTTGGATCATTTCAGTTTAAAAGACATTCCAGAGCTTCTTCTAATAAGTATGTAAGGAGAACTATCATCTTTGCCTATATACTCCCTATGTGTTTGGTCTTAGGTAACATTGGTACGATCTTTATCATTAGCGGTGATATTGGGTATCATTCTAGATTTTATTGAGGAGAACACGATTTCAAACGATATGACGTTTCTCTTATCGCTTAGTATGACTTGTTTGACCAACATGTTTTTTTTTGTAATCTCTGACTTTGCTATTTTATGTTAAGAGAGGATTTGATCTCAGGAACAACTCTCAGAATATGACAGAATGTTTAATATTGTATTTTGTTTTCAAACTACATTAAGATACAATAGATTTCAAATGTATGTTTTCGACTATTGCCCTATAGGTCAATAACATTTCATCATTTTCCTAAAATTTGGCAATGTTTTATATATATTACTGTTTCAATATGTTACTAGTGTAATATTTACTTAAGAAATAGCTGCATGAATATAATGAAATCTAAATCTACATTTTCTACCGAAAATACAACGATTTAAGTAATATAATGGACATTGTATCCTTTGAAGTGCATATCATCCTCAGTTTTTAAATGCTGAAATTTCATTTGATACTATTTGCAATATTATAAAATGCTTATTGTAGATTAATAGCAAACACAATTAAACATACCAAATTCATTAACGTATTTTTAGTCTAGATAGCTAAATTAGAATCACTGACCGGTTTTTTTATTTATCCTCGGACAGAATGTCGAAGTAATGGCGATAGTCCGTCTGTAATCATTTTTACATTTTGGCTTTGCAGAACACAACAAAAGGATTTTAGCAGTGCAGAAAACAGCAAATTTTTTAGCGTATTAAATATTGACACAAGCATTAGAAGTCTTATTGTGAATATAATATATAGAATTATTCATTAAGATAATATTATTAACATCCTATGGTAGGTCTGTATTTTGATTGTAACATCTTTATTCAAATTTCAACAAGAAAGAAGAAAGCAATATCAAGTATTTTATAAATATTATTAGTCATGCTTTTTTTTCATTTCAAAAGCATAGCATCATGCAAATAGGTTCTTGGGTTTATTTTCTTAAATATACATACAGTGGGTTCCAAAACTTCATAAAAATCCTTACAAACAAAGATACAAAGCGGACTTCAGTGTCCAACCAAACCTCTTTCTTTACTCCTCACTAATACTAGTATATTAACAGAAGAGAAAGGGAAACTTAACGAGTACAGTGTATGAGTACTGTTTAATAATATATTCAAAAGTGATGTAAATCAGATGATAATTACGATAAACTTTTGGACAATTTGAAATCCCAAGAGTTTACCAAAATTAAGAGCTTAAAAATTTTCGACTTTTCAAAATTTTAACACAACCATTAACATCTAGGCTTTTAGATATTATTGGCAACTGCTTTCCAATGTAAGACGGATATGGAGATAACGAACATGCAGCATTCTGTATAAAAAGTCCATAAAACAATATAAAATAGGAGCAGAGCAAACACGGACCTCCGAAACATCAGAAGTTTGGTCAGGTGCCATGAAGGAGTTAGCATCCCCTGCCAGAAAGTCATTTCCGCCGTGGGCTCCTTGTCATAATCGGGAAATAACGGAAACAATCGTCGTCAATTCGGTGTATACGAGGGACGATCAAAAAATTCTGCAAGTATACCTATAAAATAATAAAAACAATATATATCGAAATTTAAACTAGTTTAATCCTTCAAAATACCCCCCTTTTACATTCACACACTTTTGCAATCTGCATACCCATGATTTGAAAGCCCCGAGGTAGTCTTCCCTTGGAATACTGCCTAAGCACTGATAGACAACACTAACAACTGCACTGCGCGAAGTATAGAGACGTTCAGATACCATTTGTTTCAGTAAAAAGGAATTTGTTTAGGAAAAAGTCACGAGGACCTAGGTCGGGAGAATACATGGGATGTGGAAGCTGAACAACCTTTTCTTTCTTCAAAAAAATTTGAATTGTTTTACTCTTATGAGTCGGAGCATTGTCACGAATGAGCTTTATGTTCTTCAAGCCTGTCTTTGGTCTTTTCTTTTCATATACTTTCTTAATTTTTTTTCAGTACATTATTTTTGTTAATTTGTCCTGATATACCTCTACCTTGCGGAGGTGAAATTTGTACAACTCGGCCACTAGAATTAAAGAATATAGCATACTGAATTTTCTTAGCACTCTGACACCTTTTTGCAATGACTGGACGCTCGCTTTTCTTCCTTACCAACATCATATTGTTATCTTTTCTTTGAGGCTCAAAGAAATAAATCCAAGTTTCAGCACCTGTTAGTAGGTCAGAAAATTTCTCCTATCACAATTTTTATAGATTTTTAACAGTTTTCTAGCAAATTCCAAACGTGTTGTCTTTTGTTCTGGTGTCAAGAGATGCGGTATCCATCGTGCACATACTTTACGTAGGTTGAGGCCCTTGGTCAAAATTTCATGTACCTTTGCTGATGAGATACCAACAACACTAGCAATATGTTTAAGATTATATCTACCATCTTCCTCTCCCATTTTCTTAACTGCAGCCACGTTTTCATCAGGAACAGCTGTCTTTGGTCGCCCTGTTCTCGAAGAATCTTTAACGACGTCAACGCCATTCTTAAACTTTTTTAACCAACGACAAACTGTGCTTAACGTAATTGCAGAATGTCCATAAATCTGACCAATTTCATTCAAAATTATTTTTGCAGGTATATCAAGAATGCCTTTCACTTTTATATAGTAGGTTCTTATTTCAGCCTTCACTGCAGATTTCATATCATTTGGAGGAAATGGTCAGCGTGTTCGACTACCCCTACTTCTTTTGTATGTATCTTTTGAAATAAGGAATAAAACGATAAGAAATTTTAAACAGACACAGGTAATGAATGTATCTACCCGTGTGTGACATCAGTTTTGGTCATCTACGAAAAATTTCTATGGAATAACATTACTTGAATTATTTTCTGATCGCCCCTCGTAAATAATGAACTAACAATAGTATGAAAACGTCAGTCAGCATTTGTCTCAATGATAAATTGTGTTTGCTCTCTAGGTCATTTTATCGACCATGGAATTTACGAAATGATGACTTTAAACGAAACTGTTGATATTCTTGTTTCATCAACCTGCTTGTTAATAATTTACCTCGTTTTAGAAATTGTCCATACGTAGAGCATGCCCTTGCGTATAAAATTAACTGAGATATATAGACACATTTTGCAGGTGATAAAGGTATATTGCTGCATAAGTAAGGGACGTTGACGATAGAAAAGATACAGTGATCCCGTTTATCATACAGCTTGGTTGTTAGATTACCATTAACGTCTTTTTCAAGTAAAATATCCAAGTATGAAACAGGTGTGTCAGACTCTGTGGTATTTTTTATTTCAAGCTCACCAGGATAGATCACATTGACAAAAGAATGGAAATTACAATTGTTAATTGACAATACATCGATATACACTGTATCTAAATGTCGAGTTGAAGGCAACAGCATGTGCTTTCTTCTTTTCACACAAAGGATTTTGCAAAAGGTCTGCCTCATGTGAATACAAAAGTAGATTTGTTAATAAGGGGTTGATATTAATATAAAGAAAGGGTGAATTATTCGAAAGCCGAAATCACTGGCAACCGCTACGATCTTGCATTGAAAAGTGGAAATCCCAGAGAAGTAAAATGAACCTCTAGTAGATCTAGGTGTTTTAGGATTTAATCTCGGAATATAGGCTACAAATATCTGCATTTTCGTCATTTGAAAAAGGCAGAGCATTAAAGAATATCAAGTAAGATTTTAAGTGTCAGAAAAACAAATAAATTTAAACAATGCGCATAGTGGCGAACTTTCGTTTTCCTGCACAGGCACTTGAAGGTACAGACACATTTAATGCTTACATGTTTTAATAAATTTGCAAATAAACTGCCAGCAAAAGGATTCACAATGACGTTAGGTATAAGATAAGGTCCAATAACAATGCTAATCGAAATTATATATTGTTCTAAAGTCTACTTTCGTTTAAGGAAAACAATGGTGTGTGGCAACGCACTTTGAAAAAATTACGCACTTTGAAAAATTTTTTCAAAGTGTGTTAATTTTTGGGACCATGTTAACGCACTTTGAAAAAAAAAATTTTTTTTCAAAGTGCGTTAATATCGACCATATTAACGCACTTTGAAAAAAAATTCTGCATGGCTTAGTCAATATTCCTACAAATCTCAGGTATGATAAATTATCATTTGAACCTGATTTGATACTTTTTGTCCCCCGCTTGAAAAGTGAGGGACATTAATTTGGGTCTATCTGTCCGTCCGTCCGTCTAGCTGTCCGTCCATCCGTCTTTCTGTAACGCTTTCGTTTCCACACGATATCTCGACAACCTTTGAGCTTTTGCAATGAAATTTAACATAACAGAATCCTTGTGGCCTAAGGAAGACCCCTTTTGAATTTGGGGTCAAAAGGTCAAGATTCAAGGGCGTAAAGAACTACGAAGGATAGTATTATTCTTCCGCCTATCTCTAAGTCAATTCTCAAAAGTTAACATATTGCAATGATTCTCAAAATTTTTATAGATATTCATATGAATTTTCATAAAACTTTACTTATTTGGGATACCAAAGAGAGATAACTCTATATTTTTGGCAAAACTTGAGTTTTTCACTATAGAAATCAACGGAAAACTGAAAATATTGTTAAAACATCTCTCCCCCCCCCCCCCGTGAAACAAAAATTCCTTATTTACAGGTAAAATGGACTGTCATTTTACAAATTTATGCCAAAGCTTTTTGTGTTTCACGGGGGGGGGGGGGGGGGGGGATATGTTTATAGACAAATCACGAAAAAAATTGCTTATTTTTCACCAATTTTAAAGCTATTTAAAACTAAATAATTGTATTTTATTAATTTATATATGCTTTATTTATTTGCGTAAGACATGAGAAAAGATATTAGATACATGTTATCATATTTATGATTATTTCAAAATATGGCGATTCTTGAAAGTTCATCACTATATCCCATCATACGTTGCGAGGGGATAATACTGTTGTCTATTTCTAAAATATATGTCTAATTCCTTTTGTTTCATGAAAATTTTTTCAAAGTGCGTTAAATGTTTACATGGTGTAAAATTATGATGTACAGTCTTAACGCACTTTGAAAAAATTTTTCAAAGTGCGTTGATTTGGTCCCAAATTCAACGCACTATGAAAAAATTTTTCAAAGTGCGTTAACCTGGTCCCAAAAATTAACGCACTTTGAAAAATTTTTTCAAAGTGCGTAATTTTTCAAAGTGCGTTGTAACAATGGTGATTCACGACTGGAGGATCTAAATTTTTTCAAATTTTGAAAATCGCTGACAACAAGCAGTTTATATGATCGATTAAAAAAAGTTTTACTATCTATAGTCCTATTGCACGTTCGGGTTCGCCATTTTGATTTTGCTAATTATATATGCATGTCAAAGGTCAATCGGGGATTGTAAACAGCAATGGATACCTGCGTAACTCATGAAGTTGTAAACAGCAGTTTATTTTGATTCATATTTCATGACTTCGATATTTTATACATATTAGTATAAACATAATGTATCCCGGAGATCAAAGTTATGCATTAGATTGTTGTTCTCTCTGGAAAATTAAGGCTTAACAAACGTTGGTGACGTAACTGAAAAACAGCTGACAGCGTTTGGGTCTGTTTTGAGAAAACAAGTGGAACTGTTATTATGTGTTATACTGCTCCTGTTACTCAGGGTAAGTGACCAAAAGAACAATTTCAGCATATGCTGATTATTATAAAAAGTGTAATCACTGTGAGTTAAATGACTAATTAAATGCTATGCAAACATAATCAAGAAAATAATTTCTACCTGTCCCAGAAATTAAAAAAATACTAATATGACTGGATTATCCCTAACTTTGTAAAAGACTGTTATCAAACATAAAATTCTATAAAGCATATTACACTAAATTTATAGATCCATATTATTCAACAGGTAATCATGTCACAATTTATATTATATTTTACACTTTAATTACACATGTCTAGGTGCTGTAAATAATATTAAGTAATAATAGTTTATGTGATCTGAATTGTATATTGCAGCCTTGGACAATCTTGCAATCATGGAGCAGGTTTGCCTTTTCATGTTGAATCTGCAAACAGACTGGGAAAAACATCATGTCACATGTGCCTCAAGCTCTGGAATGTGTATGTTGGTTTTACCGACAGACAAAAAATCTCCAACCTTCAGAAATCAAGGACATGAAGTTTAAAATATCAAAGCATGGTAAAGCTTGAAGGTATACCAAAACTTTCACTCATTTCATAATCATTAATAACTATTAATTAACATACAAATAGAGAATTTCAAGGGAAAAAAATTACAAAATGTACTACTAGTTGTGATTAAGATTAGTCATGATCACTGAAAGCTTAATACTGTACACACACTGTAAATATTATAACATCAATGTAGACATTTTATAGAACAAATTTAACATAATGAAATGGGCCAATAATGTTTTTAATTTGTGTATATTAATTAATTTACATGTTTTCATGTAATGTAAACTACATGTACTTTTTTTATATATAGTATCAAGACCACTTGTTGGGAAGGATTAAAAGCAAACTATGATGTTATGCCTCAGACAACTAGAAACACATCTGATGAGAACATACAAAAGACCCTTTTAACCTCCCTGAAGGATGCTTTTTCAAATTAAATGCTTAATATGTATAGAAAGGTACTAGCTGGTTTAATACAGAAAGTTTTAAATAGATTAAATACCATAGTTAATCATCATCTTTACATGAACAAATTTCATAGCAGATTAAAACAGACTGAATAAAGATTATGGAACATACAGAAACAAAAAAGTAAATTACATACATTTAATTGTATTGCATTGTCAGACCCCAATCTATGATGTACTGTTGATTTGTTGTGTTTTTTTTTAATAAAAACAGGTATACAGAGTACTGATGAGAATCCTCCTGAGTTACCTATGGAATAGGAAGAGGCGACTGCTATTATTGTGTGCAATGCCCATAATAATTACCTAGAAAACATGGTCATAAACTTGGTAGATCACATCTCAGAGTCAGAAGTTCAAGCAATTAACACCATTACATGTACCTTCGACTTGTCATCAAATGTGAAAACCATAGCAAAAACCACGTTTATAAAAATGTACAGAAAAAATCAAAATACATGTTATGAAAAATTAAGTTCTTTTGATTTATTATGGAACATTGTTGTACATGCCATGTTTGGTTAAATTCATGAGTGAATTGAATTAATATATACCTGGTAAATGTTATGAGGCTTAATTATGAGGCTATCAGTTTTAAAATAATTGTATATTTTCTCTATATATTTCACTGACATCAACATTTTGTAAAATCACTAGCAAATGGGTCAATTTTTGTCCATTTTCATTTTTTATTTCATTACTTAAACCAGAAAATGTGTAGTTCTCTTATTATTAAAAGCTTATTAGATGTAAAGATAGTTCATCACTTAACATCAGTTCTAAAATTCAAGATCAATGTTGACAATGTAATTCATTGTGAGTATGTTACTTAAATTTTCATGTCGCATTTATAAAACCCCAACCCACATTTTTCAAAATGATTACATGTAGGTAGGGTTATTATATACATGTAAAATAAATTCCTATTGATCTTTTTTCCTTCTTTTTTATTTATTTTGTGTGTGTGTGTTGCATGATTACTTGTTCAACCCTATATTACCAGTGACATACATGTATTTGTTTTGTGGAATTCATAAATTAAACTAAATTGAATGAACATGTCAATATTTCTTTTTCTTAGTACATCGATACATGTGAACAATAGTTTGGGGCATGATGCAAGGAACCCCAGTTCAATTCTCTGTCCACTCAGACTCTTACAATTTTCTCTTTTCCTATTAATATCACATGCCCCTTATTATTCTTAAAATTTCATCAAGCCAATCAAGGTGCTAACATAATGTAAAAGGAATTTAAAATATAGAAAAATACTCTTGACTCCTTTTTTCTAATAGTTTGATTTTGAACAAAATTAAATAGTTATTCTGACATCATCAGCAGGGATCTGACTAACCCCATGCCAGCCAGGAGGGGTCACCAATGTGGCACAAAGAAAGGGTAAAATTTTGTTACAGTAAAAAATTACCAAAACCTATATATATTGACCATTTTCCATCAAAAACTCTACAATATAAAGTAATGTTTTCTCCACTGGTTCACCTTTGTACACCAGCACTCTGAAATAATTAAAATTGATTATATCCTGATGGGTTGATGCTGACTAAATATTTTGGCAGTGATGCTTATCCAACACTGAATCTGATTACTCCCAAGAATAGCTGCAGAACTGTAGCTCTCCAAAAGACCAGTCTGACAATATATTTTTTTAAAGAGCTACAGTTCTGCAGCTATCCAAAGAATAGTGTTCTAACAAAATGAAGTGCTTAAATCACTGTATTTTAAAATTTTAATTAGTAAATTTTAACTGTAAAATACATTAAAATCTAATTATACAGTGTTCATGAAAAATAATCATGTTAAGAATGCTTGAACTGTTCACAATTTTCATAATACACTATACCATGTAGGCTACATGTATACGGATAAATTTTATTCTCATTGAGTCTAAGAACTAATGCAGATCATTTTACCTATACATTGCAACTCTTAAATGACATTTTTAATTTGTAACTGTTTCATGTATATATGTATGATAGTGTATTGAGTCCTGAACAGCTTAATATCTTAATTGGAAGAAGAATATCCTTTACTCTGTTACTGCTCTATGGTTATAACATAAACATTGTAAACATCTATAGGCATATTATAAGTCTAAATCTGCAGCCTTCAGCTGATCACTCGCATCCCAACATTACTAAGCATGAGTTACATGAACCAATTAACAGCTGATTAAGTGTACCATGTTTAGTTTTCCCTATGAAAATATAAAGAATTTTAATTTAAGAATCAATAACTTTATTGCGTAAACAAACGGTGTCATACCATGCATACAGATACACAATGGTATGTGTACACGATAAATTTAAACAATTAACTCGATAATCATGATAAAACGGAATTGAACTTTATCGAATTTCATTCTGATCGTAATCGAATTACTCAAAACTTACCGAAACTGAGAGTTTCACTCTATATTTCAGTATTTATTGCCACGTTTTTTCGTACAACTCAATGTTTACTTTAGCGCAAACACCCGGATGTAACTAAAATCTATCCCTGATTGACCTTTGACACGACGTGACGTCGGAGAGTGCAATAGGACTATTGTTAGCCAAACTATTTTAGAAATTCTCTCATGTTCATTTACTGGAAACATTCTTCTATAGTATGGTGATTTTCCCAATTAAAAAAAATCATATTTAATTTTCAGATTTTACAGGCTCTGGACCCAGTTTAAAATGGAAGGAAAACTTTGGAGACATCAATTCAATTGGTATTTTCAGAATTAGAAAGTGAAAATAAAAATGATGACCTATTTATGAAAATAAAAATGATGATTTGTCATTATGCTTGTAAAGGATGCATTGTACATAACTTCTTTGACAGGCAAAAGTGTGTCCTAAGCCAATTCTTTGTCAATCTAATTAAAATTAGATGTTAGATCAGCTGGCATACTCGCTACACTAACGATGTTAGTCTAGCGAGTATGCGAGCGGATCTAACATCTAATTTTAATTAGATTGACTCAATGGTAATCTTTTTCAATGTTACCGAGTTCAATATTATCAAATACTTACCTCGTCATTGGTCATTTGAAAAATTATTTTGTTAAAACAGATTCTGATTGCACACATAAGTACTCTGAAGTTGACATCAAGAAGATGCTTGAGTTTCTGATTGACAATATCTATGTGGTTTTTGGAGACCAGGTATTCCAACAATCTATTGGAATTCCCATGGGTACAAATTGCGCTCCGTTATTAGCAGACTTATTTTTATATTCATATGAAGCAGAATTTATGCAAAATCTTATGCGTGAAAAGAAGAAAACACTTGCTGTGGCCTTCAACTCGACATTTAGATATATCGACGACGTATTGTCAATTAATAATGATAATTTCCATTCCTACGTCGACACGATATATCCTGGTGAGCTTGAGATAAAAGATACCACAGAGTCCGACACTTCTGCTTCATACTTGGATATTTTACTTGAAAAAGACACTAATGGTAATCTAACAACCAAGCTATATGATAAACGTGATGACTTTAACTTTTCTATCGTCAACTTCCCTTACTTATGCAGCAATATACCTTCATCACCTGCATACGGAGTATATATATCTCAGTTGATTCGATACGCAAGAGCATGCTCTACGTATGAACAATTTCTTAAACGAGGTAAATTATTGACAAGCAAGTTGATGAAACAAGAATATCAACAGTCTCGTTTAAAGTCATCATTTCGTAAATTCTATGGTCGATACAATGACCTTGTCAGCAAATACAATTTATCATTGAATGAAATGCTGACTGACGTTTTTCATACCAATTGTTAGTCCATTATTTATACACTGAATTGACGACGGATTTTTTCCGTTATTTCCTGATTAATGACAACGAGCACACGGCGGGTGTGACCGGTCGGCAGGGGATGCTCACTCCTCCATGGCACCTGATCCCACCTCTGATGTTTCGGAGGTCCGTGTTTGCTCTGCTCTTATTTTGTATATTGTTTAATGGACGTTGAGATTGAATACTGTTCGTTATTTCCATATCCTTCATCTATCAATAACTAAAAGATCTAGGAAAACATATTTACTGAAGATACGACTGCAATGAATAAATGATCTGACAACTACCTAAGGTAATTTAGAAATAATAAAAAAAAATACAAATGCACGAGGAAATTCTTGCTTTGGTCATAACTTTGACGTAGCAAAAAATAAGAATATCTGACACAAAACTTCGTGACCAGAATTTTCATAATTTAATGATGCAATAACTTTAGAAGATCATACTTGTACAACAACCTGTAGTGATTCTTTTTGTTCCTAGGATATAATAGGACCCTTACTTTAGGTCTTTAGATCAAATCACCGAGTAAAAAAATTTTAATTTTATAAATCTTAAAAAATATATTTTTGAAAAAAAATCTTTTGTTATTGAGGAAGTATTTTGAGGTCACATATGGCTTGCGAGTTTGTTACTGTGTACATAAAGTAAGACAACTACAAAGTTAAAAGTTCATTTGGACACATTATTTTAATTCTTGAATTCATGTAGTCTTATCTTTTCTGCTAAACAAAAGACATAAAAAAATAAACACATGTACATACATAACATTCTAACGAGTAAGTAAAAATGCAGTATGGCACTCTAGCAAACAGGCTGAAATCAGTGAACAGTATTTTAATTTAAGCAATTTTACTAGTTGCCTTAGTGCATGAGCAATGTGTAGTTTTACAAAGATAGTTCTAATTTGTTTGTTTATTATCAAATTTTTGGATTGTTTGTTACATTTCAGAAAAGCATTATGGCCTCCTCCTCTTACGCGTCCACAGAGGAGACGACAAATGCCTGTAGAGCCTGTCGACTTCTCTTGGGTCCATGTACAGATGAGTTACGTGATGTTTTACTTCACCATGTACCTCTACCAACATTCACACACGTCATTAAACAAAAGAGGAGTAATCTTCCCCGTCTGACAGCTCAACAGATGAATCTTATTTTACCCAGAGGTAGTAGTTATACAGGAAACTATGGTGATATGGACATTTCCTTATTATACACACTACTTAGAAACATTTGTGGTATACCACCACACAGCAGTGGCTGGGGATATGATCCAGACACTACAGATCGATCTCTCTCTGCCAACATTGAGAGAATCCGTATCGCCAGAAATCAGTGTGTACATTCTTCTAGTCCCATCCTTTCCAACGCTGATTTCAACACAATCTGGTCCACTGTCAGATCAGCAGTTGTGGACCTTGATTCTTTCCTTAACAACGGGAACAAGTTTGAAAGAGAGGTGGACTTTTTGAGACATGAGACAATGGACCCTGTCAGTGATTGTCGTTACATAGAAGAACTTAGAAAACAGGCTGAAGAAGATGCAAAAACTAGAGAAATGATTAAAGGCCTGAAACGTAAATATAATGGCTGGGTTTGACATTTAACCTATGAAATAAAGCTTAATACTGTTTAAATTTGTTTCTGCTGTTAATGCTTATTCAAAAACTGTTTTCTACCAGGAAAAGCCGAAGAGATTGATGAGAGGTACAATAAAATGCAGAAAAGTTTTGGTGAGTACATTTCTATTTTAAAAAAATTACACTGGAATAAGTTTTGGAACTGCCTTGAAGAAATCAAATTAAAAGGATGGCTGCACCTAATGACATGCCAAAGTTGCAACAAAATAAACTTACAAAACAAGCATTTCTCTTTTAATTGCAGGAATAGTCTAATCTACAGCTTTACGTATTTACATTAAATAAAAGTATGTATTTACGAAGTATGCGGCTGTTTTCAAGGGCAGGGTCATCAGAATGTTTTGAATCTCCAAACGTTGAGAATGCCCATTTTTTGTGTCGCATGCGGTGCAGAGCGGCACTAAGGGATCACTTAACCCGGCGTCTGTCTAGCTGTCTGACTGTCACACCTTGTATCTCAAGAACTGCAAGAGACACAGACTTGGCGTTTTGCATATTATTGCTTGGCACAATGGTATTCGTTAATTGACATAGGTACCGACCTCGTGACCCTTGACATTATCCTTTGACATTCTTTACTAAAAACCAAAAAGTGGCAATATACGGCATATTTTTGACATTTAAGGGGTAAATCTATGCTATCTAGCATGTGCACTGATTGTCATAAAACATGAAAAATGCCAGCATTACAATTCACTTGACCTTGACCTTTGGCGTACTTTACAAAGATTCCCTCGGACAGTTTACGTTTAATTAACTTATGACTTGTATTTTGAGTCGCGGGGTTGTTGAAAATTAAAATTGATACATATTCACAGGATGAAAATCCACCATTCAGTCGACTGAATGGTGGTTGAATGGCCACTGAATGGTCACTGAAAGGTCACTGAAAAGACCTTTTCCCGTGACCTTTCCGTGATCAATCAGTTACCATTCAGTCGACTGAATGGCACATACATTTCAGTGATCTTTCCGTGATCATTCAGTTGAATCTTTTTATTGAATAATTGGCTTATTTTTTTACCAAAAAAATTATTTCACTTTTTCCTGGTATAATAGCATTCCAAATAAAAAAAAATAGTAAAAAAATTAATACATGAAAAAAAAATTGCTCCCATGCCCAGAATCGAACCCTAGCTTCCTGCTTAGGTGTCCGCGACCTTATCAATTACGCTACGTCTTTTTGTTAAGAAATGTGGATTTAAAAACAATTAATTTATAGAAATCGATAGAACAATCAGTTCACCTGTTGTATCGAGGAGCTGCGATGTGTATATATCTTGTATATCTTTTGTATATTCTATGTTAGTTGCGCTGATTTTGGGGACAAACTAATTAATTACACATCTCCTATCGGGATGATTACAATTATCAGAGACGGGCACCTGTTCCTGTGTCCAAGATTTAAGATCATTGTAAATTCTTTTTCTAGAAACTTATTAAAGCAACATCATTTAGAAAGCTAAAATCTCCTATATATTTTATTTCCTACAAGAGGCATGTATAAACGATTTATTTATTCTTGTAATTAAAAATGAATTTAAAATAATGTCTTTCAAAAACTAAATATCCTGCAGTTTTGACAATGACATGATAAAGAAACGAAATTGATCAGTAATACTAGCGATCTTCCAGAAATAGTTTAAATAATATAACTTCTGTCTTATCAATCAAAACTATATATTTCCATAAAAAAAATACAGGTATAAGCACTATAGAATGTTATACATTTATTTAAATTTTGAATCGGTTATCGGATCACTTTTTATCACTTAAAGAATTTTTGTTTTCTAAATGTAACTAGAAAATTAAAAATCATTTTGAATAAGTCTCACATATTTTATAAAATCATAATATTTTAAGGTACCCGAATTTGATCACGATAAGTAAAAAAAACACAATTAAGATTGAATAATAAATCTTTATTCAAAATATTGCTTCCTTGTTAAGGAAAAATATCTGATTATAAAATAATACGCTAGTGAAAAAATTGCTAAATTGAGACTTAAATATCACTAAATGGTGGCGGAAAGGTAACTGAAAGTCGACGGAAAGGTCACTGAAAGAAGACGGAAAGGTCACTGAAAGTTGATGGAAAGGTCACTGAAAGTTGATGGAAAGGCCACTGAAAGTTGACGGAAATGTGTCAGCTGAATGGTGACTGAAAGGTATCTGAAATGTGACTGAAAGGCAACTGAAAGGTCACTGAAATGTATGTGCCATTCAGTGGCTGAATGGCCACTGAAAAGTTACTGAAAGCCGCCTTTCAGTTTTAACTGAAAGGTCTTGTTTCTTCCTATGATTTTTGAGCTCATAATAATCTTCTTTAAAATGTATGATATTCAGTAACCACACAAACTAATATATTAATATTAATATATATTAATATAATATTATGAAAAAACATCTGGATCAGGATCCCACAACGGATCGTGTAGAGTGACAATTGGTGTAAAGACTTAACAAGTTTAGCTTTTATAAAAAGCTTAGAGAGTAGCCAGAGGATGCTTCTTCACAGTGACAATGTTTTAAAAAATAATAGGAGAGGCCCTTTGGCCACATCGCTCACCTGAGTAGCTTTGGTGATGTCATTCTTTACCCTATTCCCCCTTGTAATAACTTTTGTGGCCTGGCTTTACCACCTGTTAAGTTCACACAACCCAGTAAAACACCAGAAAACTTCCCTACATTTAATACTCCCCAGGCTGAAGAGTTCCATATTCACAAATAAGAGTTATCTAACTTGGTATGAAATTAACACCCCCCCCCCATTTCACAATTTTAAAAATTTAGAATCTACACTACCCAAGGATGCTTCCAAATAAGTACTTTCAGCTTTTTTCTGGCCCAGTAGTTCTTGAGAAGACGATTTTTGTGTAACTCTACATTTTGATTACTTTATGTACACGTACATGGATACATGACAGACAGACCGAAATTAATATTGGATTCCTCCACTTTCATCGGAGGACAACAAACAAGCAAGCTCAGTTAGTTGCGTCTCTTCCCAAAGTATCTGTTGTATGCATTAACAAATCAGTTCTCTAATGATTTAATGAAAACGAAAGTAAAACCAATATAAAATTGACGGAATTAAACTTCAAAATCTGTAATTATAAACCAATGTTTATGCTGTAGATTTTAATACATAAGTAAAATACCGTCAATATACTTAACAAAAGACCTTCAATGGACATTTTGTAATAAATTCAATACAACTTCATGTATATGCTTTGCTGATCCGATGAGAACCAGTCAAATTTCTGCTACCAAAGATTTTTTTATTGTTTGGAACGGCTTACGAAGCTGCTATAAATAAATAAGCATATTTGATCAATCATTGATGTATAACAGAAATAACAAGGGACCTAAAATAGAGCCCTGTGGCACACCTGCTGTGACGGGCAGTGATTCAGATGTGTACGCACCAATTTTTACACTTTGAGTTCGATCATTTAAATATGATTGAAACCATTTAATTGATATTGGATCAAAGCGGTAACATTTGAGTTTACTAATAAGTATATCATGATTTACAAGATCAAATGCTTTGCTAAAATCCAAATAAGTAATGCCAACGAAATTTCCTTGGTCTATTGCATGCAGCCAATTATCAGTTAGTTTTGTGAGAGCTGTCTGACACGAGTGAAATTCTCTAAATCCAGATTGTGCTTTCATTAATATATCAAAGTGTGAAGTAATGATGCGTATATTTTCTGCTACATACTTCTCTAAAACTTTCGATATAGTTGGTAAAATTGAGATTGGGAGATAATTCCTGGATCTGATTTATCACCTTTTTTAAATAGAGGATTACTTTTGCGACCTTTAACTGTGAAGGAAAAGATCCATTGATAATGCTAGAATTTATTAGATGTGTTAGAGGTTTTGATATTGCACTAGCTGAAAGTTTAAGCAACCTAAGTCCAAGAAAGTCTATGCATGTAGATTTGTTTATGTCAAGCCTCTTTAACATATCAAATACTTTTGTTTCATTAAGCAAGGGAATTTCAACAAGAGGCCCAGGGGCCACAGTGCTCACCTGAGCACATCGGGCTTGAATTTACTCACCCCCCACCCCCTCCCCCCCACGTCCAGGCATTCATCATTTGAACAAACTAGAATCTACACTACCTGAGTATTATTCCATATAAATATCACTAATCATAGCTCTGAAGTACTTGAAAAGAAGATTTTAAAAGGTTTCCCTATATATCCCTATGTAAAAATTGGGTCGGCCATTTTGGCCCCACCCTTGCCCCAGGGGTCATGATTTGAACAAACTTGAATCTACACTACCTGAAACTTGAATCTACACTACCTGAGGATGATTCCACATGAGTTTCATCTTTCCTGGCCTTGTGGTTCTGGAGAAGAAGATTTTTAAAAGATTTTCCCTATATATTCCTATGTAAAACTTGGGTCGGCCATTTTGGCCCCACCCTTGCCCCTGGGGTCATGATTTGAACAAACTTGAATCTACACTACCTGAGGATGATTCCACATGAGTTTCATCTTTCCTGTCCTAGTGGTTCTTGAGAAGAAGATTTTTAAAGATTTTTCTTATATATTCCTATGTAAAACTAGGGTCGGCCATTTTGGCCCCACCCTTGCCCCAGGGGTCATGATTTGAACAAACTTGAATCTACACTACCTGAGGATGATTCCACATGAGTTTCATCTTTCCTGGCCTTGTGGTTCTGTAGAAGAAGATTTTTAAAGATTTTTCTTATATATTCCTATGTAAAACTTGGATCGGCCATTTTGGCCCCATCCTTGCCCCGGGGGTCATGATTTGAACAAACTTGAATCTACACTACCTGAGGATACTTCCAGATGAGTTTCGTATTTCCTGGCCCAGCGGTTCTGGAGAAGAAGATTTTTTTAAAAATGCCATTAATTTTTAACAAATTCATGATTATCTCCCCTTGGAAAAAGGGTGTGGCCCTTCATTTGAACAAACTTGAATCCCCTTCACCCATGGATACTTTGTGCCAAGTTTGGTTGAAATTGGCCCAGTGGTTCTTGAGAAGAAGAAGAAAATGTGAAAAGTTTACGACGACGACAACGACAACGACAACAACGACAGACGACGGACAAATTTTGATCAGAAAAGCTCACTTGAGCCTTCGGCTCAGGTGAGCTAAAAAAGTCTTGATCTCCAAGTTTTGTTTCAGTGTATCTTTTCAAATTTTCTG